AAAAAAAAAAAAAAAAAAAAAAAAAAAAAAAAAAAAAAAACGTGAGACGAGTGGAAAAGAAACAGAGAAGGCCAGAAAGAAAAACGGCGCCTCCCCGCATCGCACCTACCTTACCCAACCTGACCAAGATCCAAGATCACTCCTCCCCTCCCACAACCACACACCAACCCCACCAACTCACTCCCACACACAGCAACCAAACCTACCATACCTCATACAAACCTCATATACAAAGAAGCACACACAACACACACAGCCAAATAGAGAGAGCGAGGGAGCCAGAGACAAAGACAAACAGCACCAACAACGCAGCAGCAGCGAAGAAAAAAACTCCAATTCAGTTAGAAGCGCTCAAATCCATGTTACATACCATGCGGTCTCCCGCTCTAACGACACGACACGACCTACACTGCGCCCGGTAGTGAGTGAGCGAGGGGCCGAAGCTGTGGGAATGCTCAACTTGGCCTGACTGGATCGGACCTGAAAAGACCTGGGCAGACCAAGCAAGGCCTGGCCAGGCCAGACCAGACCAAACCAACCCCGAGAAGCCCCGCCCACCCACGCGCTTGTCTATACCATCCAAGCCCATCTTTAATTTTCTCAACGAAAGAAGGCAGACAGAGCCGCCGATTCTACTTCCCAGACCAAACCCATTGTCCCTCGCCAACCACTATGCACGCACGCTGATAGCTCTACACAAACGCAGCAGGCGGACCAACAAACGGCGCGCTTATTTGCCCTGCTCAGCGCGCTTGAGCGTGCCGACGGGGTCGCTGAGCGCGGCCTTAGCGGCGTCCTTCTCCTCCACGGCCGCGGCCTTGAGCTCGCCCGTCACCGTCTCGCCCTTCTGCGAGCGCTGCCAGAGCAGAATGCGCGTCGTCTGGATGAAGCCGACGCAGCCGAGGAAGAAGTTCACTGCAGCGAGGCTGTGTGGGGTGGCAGTTATGTCAGCTGGGGCGCGCGCTAAAATCTAACGTGGAACTGCTGGGTGGGGTGTTTGGGGGTATTCCGATGGCTCCGTCCGCCCTGAGGCGGAGGATCCTCCGGTTTGCAGTGCTGGGAATGGGCGCGACGTACAAGACGTTCCGCGGCTTGATGATCATGCACCAGCGGGTCCAGATGGCGCCGGTGGCCATGAGCGCCGCGTTCTGCGAGAGAGAGAGCATCTCGGCAGGGCGGAAGAAGTCGGCCACGCCGGCGAGGACGAGAGCCCACTGTAGCAGTTCTGGTCAGCGTTGCATGTCCCGGTGTGTGTATTTCTCGAGCTCGGGGTTTGTCCGAAGTGCGCGCGCTCGCTCGCTCGTATGACGTGGTGCGGCGCGAGACAAAAAGCCCCGGCGTCGGGGAATGCAGGCTCTCATACCTTCATGACAGGCGCCCTGGACAGCAATCGTCAGCGCATGCTCTCTCTAAGCTCAATTCGCCATCGTCGCCAACCTCGACGCTTATCCGACGGGATTGGAGCGCGCAGTGGCATGACTCACCAGAAGTGCACCGTCTTGGGGCCGACGGGGCTGTGCCAGAACTTGGCGAAGCCGCTCTTGGGGGGCGCGGCGACATTGTCCTGGGCGGGCGTGGTGATGCGGCGGCGCTGGAAGTTGCGGAAAACCGGGTTGCGCGCAAAGGTGCGCGAGAAGTTGGCCAGGCGGGTGGTGGAGCGGAAGGCAGACATTTTTGGATGTGGATTTTATGTGCTCGACCTAGGGTGCGGCGGAGGGAAAGGGGAAAAGGAAAGTGGTGGTGTGGAGGTGGGAAGTGATGTTGCGAGGTCGGAGCAGTGCGAGAGCGGAACTGGGTTGCGGCGGAGCTGCTTACGAAGAGGCACCTTTGGCGTTCGTTGGTGTTGGCCGACCCGATGGAAGTCCGCTGTGACTAGTCGTGGCCGGAATGTAGGTATAGGGTTCGAGAGATTTCTGGCCACCTCTAAATCGCCCGCACTCGGCCCAACTTGCCCTGCCAAGACTCAGACTGCGAGCTTCACGCATCACTCGCGGCATCACCACCATCGTACCCGCACATCCTCCCCACACCCACCACCGCCCACCCCGACGCCATGTCCGGCAAATACGTCTTCTCCAGCACGCTCAAGGAGCTGCGCTTCGCCCTGTGCCAGACCTCCTCCCACAGCGCCGCCGCAAGGTACAATCGCCGTCTCCGCATCCGCCCGCATTTACAAACGAGCTGCCGCTGATTGGACCGTTGCACAGGCAGTTCTTGCAGCGCGCATACCCGACCATGAAGCACCACAACCCCCACACGCCCATCATGATCCGCGAGGCGCTGGATATCGAGCCCAAGGTTTACGCGAGATACGGTGCGTTGACATGCGAAGCTTGGGAGCTTTCGGGGGGCATTGAGGGGCGCCGGCTGACAATCGGCTTCTGCAGAGTTTGGAAAGGAGAAGATGCTGCCTCTGAAGGGTGAGTGAATGCCGCTGCCGTGCTGTTGTCGCTTGCGTGGCGACACGGGCCATCAATTGGGCGCTGGGGATGAGAGCTAACGCCGCGACGCAGGTCTGGACGACAAGTCGATCGAGAGCAAAATCACCGAGCTGGTCAAGTCTTCGTAAAGTTATATCATGTCACGTCTAGAGGAAGAAGATGCTCTGAAAAACGGGCTGTACAAATAAGCAATCTCGATACCAACGCGGCATTCTATGTACACGCTCTTTGCATTCCAGGTCCTGCTTGCGTCTGTATACGCAATCAGGGGCTACAATTTTTCACTAAGGGTCGCGTTACCCACGGCTTCTCCGAACCGGTATTGGGCCCAGCTCATGCTGCCTTCAGGCATGGTGAAGAGTTGCGTGCCGACGTCGTCTTCTGCAGCGCCTGCGGCGATGTGGATGGGCAGGAGATGATCAAATGTCGGATGCGCCTGTCTGGCGTCTCCGCGCTTCAGAAGCGCTGCCATTGCCTCCTGTCTCTGGTCTGGCTGTGTTGTTGCCGCCTCTTTCAATGCATCATCGAAGCTATTGACATATCTAGGTCGCGTCAGTATAATTGCGGCGCAAGCTCAATTAACTTGTTCGGTGAGGTTGAAGATGGGATACTCACGGCATTGGCTGAGACTGGCCCATTGAGGCCCAAAGGTCTCGCAGATTATGCACCGCCATTCCCGAGCAAATGACCAGGATGTTTTCGTCCCTCAATGCAGCAACGGCCTTTCCAAGACGGTAATGCTCGTTCGGATCCTCTTGTCTGAACAGCGAAATTTGCACGACTGGGACGTTCAAAGGATTCTTTTCTGGGTTAAATGCTGCAAACCGTCAGCGCCGCCATTGAGTGTTTAGGCAGAGTGCTCTATACCTAGCAGGAGAGGTACCCAAGCGCCGTGGTCAAGGCCTCTGGAGACCGGCGTGTATCCGACGCCGGCTTGTTCGAGCTTAGACATGACATTCTGCGCTATGTCGCGGCTCCCCACATTCGGGTACTTGACATTGTAGTACGAGTCCGGGAAACCGTAGAAGCTGACAGTCATGAGTATCCATTGGCTCCAAGGACATGTGCTCACTCACTCGTAAATCAGCTCAGTGATCTCCGCCGTGTTTACGAGGACGCCGTTGTTACGGCTCTGCCAGTGGGCGGAGAATATCACAACGGCTTTTGGTTTGACTTTGCTAGTTATTTCCTTGCCAATGTCCTGTAGTTTCTTGTAGGCAGGGTGATCCGGCTCTTCCATGATGTTTGGCTATGTTTGGTTAGATTCGACTTGTTTGGATGTGTTAGGGGACTGACGCCTCCATGTGAAAGAAAATAGACCGGTGTCCGCGCAGGACGTGCGGATGCGTCGCTAGACATGTCTGGTGACACGGATGAGAAGAGACCACTGGCAAGGGGTATTTGGGAGCGACGAAGGAAGCTCTTCAATGGTGAGAGCATAGGCTGGTATAAGGAAAGGATTCCGATGACTACGGCAAGAATGGCAACGACCAATGGTGCTGGACGTGTATGCATGATCCTAGACAGACTTTCAGTATAAATATAGAGTGAGTAACTAATCACGTCAACCAGGAGGCGTAGTGAAATAGAGGGCATAAATTTGTCAAAGCCACGTGAGGGTCACGAATGGTGCGGAAATATTCCGGCAGTTTGCTGTGTTTGCGCTTGCGTTTGCGAGTGCACGGGCGGCAGCTATTCACAGCTGTAACAAAGCTCCATTCACCATTCACCATCCAGAAACACCCATTTGGAGATGCCTCGCGCTAGGTAGAGCCCTCTCGCCAAATATCTAGGGTCTGCTACTTCAGCCCGCCTCTCTCCCCCAACACCTTCGCTCCAAACGAACACGTCGCCTGTCGCCGTCACCATGTCTGCGCCAGGCCCCATCATGGAGCTCATAGGCAAGACTGCCTTCGCCTTCGACCAGATCCAACCGCTTCTACCAACCTACACCCATCTCCTCGTGTCGGCGCTCTTCCCCATCTACGCTGGCGCTCACTCGTCGCTCACCCGCCCCGCATCCGCCGCTAAACCTCCCAAACGCAAAAAGCACGCCGACGATGAGAGCGCAGAGGACAACAAGGAGGAAGAGGACAATGAGCAGAAGATGGAGGGGCTCTCACCCAGCGACGCCCTCATGTTCCCTATCATGGCGGGCGTCACGCTGACAGGTCTGTATTTCCTCATCAAGTGGATGGACAATGCAGAACTGCTCAACAAGATTCTGAACGGCTACTTTGCCTTTTTCGCCATCTTCAGCGTTTCGCGCTTCATCACCGACGGTCTTGACTTCATCCACTGCGTCGTCTTTCCCCGCGTCTACAGGGATCAGGGTTTGGAGTACGAAGTCCACAACTCCAAGCGCAATGCCATCCCGGCCGACAGCAACGAACTCCACAAGCAATTGCAAGCTGGAAGGAAAAATGACGATATCATCCGTACATCGCCGTTGCCTGGAGCGCTGAGTCGCTTTCTGCTTCCAACGTCCGCCAAGTCTGCTCTCTGGGCTTTCCGCAGGTTGCCCTACCAGAAATGGACGGTTAAGACGCACATCCACGGCATCTTCTCTGCGCGCGCACAAATCGGCCTTCATGGGGTTCTTGGATTCCTTTTCGGTCTTGCGGCGGTAGCCTGGTTCAACTTCGTCTCGAAGCCCTGGTTCTTGACTAACCTTCTCGGCTTCGCCTTCAGCTATGGCGCCATGCAATTACTGTCGCCTACCACATTCGGCACTGGCACGCTCCTTCTTTCAGCGCTGTTCTTCTACGACATCTACATGGTCTTCTTCACGCCGATGATGGTCACCGTGGCAAAGAGCCTTGACATCCCGATTAAGCTCGTGTTCCCGCGCCCTTCGGTGCCGAGCCCAGTCGAGGGCCGTCCGCCAATCAAGCAGCACGCGATGCTGGGCCTCGGCGACGTTGTGATCCCGGGCATCATGATCGGTCTCGCCCTACGCTTTGATTTGTATATGTTCTACCTGCGCAAGCAGCGCCGCGTCGAAGCCGAGCAGGACAAGCCCGCCGAGACACAAAAGGCCAAGTACGTCTCCGTCTCGAACCGCTGGGGCGAGGCTCTCTGGAACGTTGGCCCCACTCCCGGCAGCTTTCCGCGCCCGTACTTTAGGGCCAGCTTGGTGGGCTACGTTCTCGGCATGCTGGCCACGCTGGCGGCAATGCAGATTGCGAACCACGCGCAGCCGGCACTGCTGTACCTCGTGCCGGGCGTGCTGCTTGCGATTTGGGGCACCGCGTTGGTGCGGGGCGAGGTCAAGGACGTGTGGAACTGGAGCGAGGCGGACGAAGACACGGAAGAGCAGGGCGACGCGAAGGATAAGAAGGACGCCTCGAGCAGGAAGAGCATCTTCTCGGCCGAGCGCACCAAGGACATGGAACACAGGCTGGAGAAAGCGGCGGGCAAGTACGTCGAAGTGGACGAGACGAGCACCGCGCACGACGATGACGACGACGCCGCCGCCGCCGCCAAGAACGAGAAACGCACCAAAGCGGCCAAGCACGCGAAGAAGCGCAACGCTGCCTCCGCCGGCCCGGACCGCACGCTCTTCGCCTTCAGCATCACGGCGCCGTTCGCCCTCTCGTCTCCGAAGCGCAGGTCTTCCAACGCGGCCGACGCTTCCGCTGGCGCTGACAACGACGACGCCTCTTCACGCCCTAGCTCCTCGGGCAGTAGTGCTGCTGGCGGCGGCTTGAGACGCAGGAATTGGCAGGCGGGCACGCCGGGCAAGGGCGAGGGCGCGGGGGTTTGGGAGGGCGAGGGCGAGGTGCCGATTGGGAAGCGTAGGAGGACGAGTTAGGTGAGGGGTTTGAGAGGGTTTGAGAGGGATGGGTTGGGCGTTTTGGTGGTTGGCTGGCTGGTTTGCTTGCGGGTTTGATTGCTTTAATGGCTGCGGAGGGCTTACGGCGCGCTCCTTTAGCTTGGCCTGGGTCTTTGGATTGCGAGCTGCTTGTTGGGGCTGCATGTAGGAATTGTTGGTGCTGGTGCTGGGGGTGCTGGGGGGGGGGGGGGGGCGTTTGGGCTGGGCTGGGCTGGGCTTCAATGATGGCTGCAGTGGGATGCGGACTGCGAACTGCAGACTGCGGCTGTGGCTCTGACGAAAAGCAAAAGCGGACTTATGCGTGCTGATGCGTGCGGTGCGTATGGGAGGGAGTGAAGCGTGCGTGCGTGCGTACGGTACCAATATGCGCGCATAGGTAGATAGATAAATGAATATGAAACTCTACAAGTCTACAGATAGGCACTAGGCACTAGGGATGGTACGCCTGTTTTGTGTTCATATATGTGTGTGCGTGTCTGCAGTTGATATCACGAATATAACACGCGCTGATGACCCGAAATCGTGCGCTGTGTAGGCACCTAGGTACTGTATACAGGGCGTCGTATAGCCAATAGCTTAATAAGGGAGGGTGCTGCGCTGTACTTGTTCTTGCTTGCACTGTACCGGGAGAGACGGCATATTGACCATTAAGGACATGCTAAGTTGGTGTAGGTGTAGTCACTGTATAAATATTATAAGTATACACTATTGTGTTTGTAACCTACTAATCCTATAGACAGCACAAAGCAGCACCAACGCAATGCCGGCGCCGTTGCTATCCATCCAAACTCAAGCTCAAGCTACGCTACGTCATCGCGCAACCCGTTAAACGGTAGACAATTGCAACGCCAGGTACTAGGCAGGGGTTGCTATTGTTGTTGTTGATATTGTCCTAGCTATGTGGCAGAACGTCAAAGGTGCGTAAGTGTGCTGACAAGGACACAAAGCCCACAACCCCACTTCGAGCTGCCACTGAGCGCTGATCACGGCTTCGATGTTACTGCTACTGCTAGCTGCCCTGTCCTGTCCTGCGTATTGTATGCATGTAAACAGACAAGTCCAGCCCGCCTGTGGTCTGGCCAGAGCCGCTCTAGCGCGCGCACACAAAGCGCGTGTACGCAGCTATCTCTTAACTGCTTTCTTTCCTTTTTCTTTCTTGGTTAGTTGCCGCCACAGCCATGTCAAGGGGGGTGCAGGCGCAGGTGCAAGTATAAAGCCCTTCCTCCGCTCTCTCTCATCAAACAACCATACACACCGTTTAATTTCATTCATTCGTTTTCAACACCCACACACACACACACACACACACACACACACACACA